TTTTTTTAAAAAAAAAAAAAAAAAAAATCAAATAGGGAAAAAAGATTAAACTTCATAAAAGTAGATTTAAAATTTTTACTGATACTATAGCCTTTTTGTAACCAATGAAAAAAAATTTAAAACATTTTATTTATTTTTTCAATTAAATTTTTAGAAACATTCTGGGAAAATTTTTCAACTATGACTTCAAAAAATTTCTATTGTTGGGTTACGAATTTTTAAAGGGCAACCTAAATATCCTTACATATTGTTGCAGGAAATCTGGTTTTGTAAGCACTAACAACTCAAACAGTGAAAACGATACAATCTTAGTTAAGACTTGGAACTGAATTGTCTAAGTTTTTCATGTGATCAACATTTAGTTAACATATTATGTTACTTATTACTTTTTACGTTTGATAAACATGTGACTTTACTTTTTTTAAGAAAAATCCATTTTTTTAGTATTTAAATATCATTTTTAAATTTATTTTTAGTATGAATTTTAACCTTTTATTTCAAACTGCATACATCATAATCCTATGAGACAGGAGACTTAAGCTTTTTTGAAAATGTTTAATTTTTAAGCTCATTTTTCATTGGTGAGCTAAAAAAAAAAAAACTTTACATAGTGTTGCTTAAATTTGTCATACTGGCTATTTCTTATTAATTGCTCTATGATGCAAATAATGAAGGAAGTTACCCTTAGAAATAAAAGTATTGAAACTTTATTTCTAAAAGTATTGACACCTCAATTCCTAAGATATTTGTAAAGAAATAAAAGAAGGGGACAAATATTTCCTTTTAAGGAAAAAAATTAAATTAAAAGGAATAATGTACACATCTACTAAATATTTCATGACAATATTATTCTAGGAAACATAGAAGAGAAGAACTAAATTCTTTCAAATAGATTGAGTTAGTGCAGTAATATTGTAAAATAATATTGTACCTAATATAGTAATATTATAAAAATGGCCAAGCTGTTGTGATTCTTAATATGCGGAAATAGTAAAAAAAGAGAGGGAGTGTAGTAACTTCTACTTGTATAACTTCTACTTGTTGTAACTTCTACTTGTATAATCTACATGTATAACTTCATTCTTGAAAATTGCATGTATTTTTGTTATTTGGGAACCTATCTTTATTTTTTTTTAATTTTAAAATAAATTTTCCGTATCATTATTTAAATATTTTTTTCCATTCCAATGACAGTGCAAACACTTTAACTGAAAAATAAGTTAGTTTGCTTTTACTTTTAGTACTAAAGCGTTCAAAAAAAAATCTTTGTAAAAAAAATTCAAATTATTTTTGGTTAAAGCAAAATATGGATTGAGCTAATTTTCGTTTAAATTTAGGTCCATATAGTTTTAAAGTTGAATCTAATATTGAGCTATAAATGGATGAATTAATTTATCACTCAACCTGACTGCCTTGAATTCTGAGTTTTATAAACAGTCAATTAGCACTGCTTTATGCATATTTAGAAGTCCAGCATAGACACAATGTTCCGGATAATTGGTTTTTAACTATAGCAGTAAATATTAAAAACAAAGTATTCTTATTTTTGGTTTTATTAACATTTTAAAATAGATAGGTAATTTCTTTGCTAAGAGCAATAAACTTAATATGGTTAAAAAATCAAATATGCTTTGAATATTTTTGTTTTGTGCCATAGGTAATCAAATTTGTTTCTTTCAAGAGATTTTTCAGGCCTCATAATGAGTTATCTTGAAAATATGACCTCTCCCAAGTAATGTCAAACACTTCTATGAAAATGAAAAATAATCTTTTTTGAGTGTTAAAAATAGATATTAAGATTGTAAGAAAAATGTTATTATTTAATAAATTAAGAATAAGAATAATCAGATAATTTTCCTTACAAATATTATTATTTTTCTGTTCTTACAGTTTTAAACTGACATTGTTATAGTAATGTTGTAATACCAAAAAATTGTAGTTAGGCAAAGAAAAAAAAGAAAAAAACTTTACGATAAAATTTTAAGTTCAGAAGGCGAAAGTTGATTCATATTATTTAATAAATTGATTTAAAGATTTTAAGTTATGAAAAAGCGGTGAAATTTTTGGGTGTGATTTTAAAATTCATTTAAGTTATAGAACTGAAAAAAGTCTGAAATTGCTGGGACTTTATTTAAAAAGTGTATTTTTTTTATAAAAAAAGCAGGTACTTAACAGGACACTTTCTTGATTGTAGCAGAAAAAAGAAGATACTCTTTTTGTTAAAATAATAACATTTTGAGGATCGGCACCTGAAAGCTATAAATCTGACCGCGTTATTTATTAATTTTTTTTTTTTATATCTTACTAATTACTTAGGAAAACTATCTGTAAAATAAGATGAAATTTGCATAACAAAATTCTTATTTTTTATACCTGACATGCATCATGATATTTTATAGCTAGGATTAAACATAGGAAGAAAATGATTTCCAGATGTGAAAAAAAATATAATTGGGAATTAAGTCTAGTAATTCTTGTACTTGACATTTTTTGTAAATTTTATATCTATTTTTAATTCTTTTTTAGTATGTATTAGAAATGTTGTGTAAAGCAAAGAGCATCTTTATAATTAATTATTCATTTGTATTTAAAACTTATTTTGAAAGAAAAAAAACTTGTTTCTTATAATTTTTGCAAAGTTTTCAAAATGTTTGTTTCTTTTTTAACAGAAAAATATTTAATTCTTGGTAGTACCGTTAGTTTTAAAATTTCCCTTTCTGTTGTTTATTTAGAAAATTACTAGACTTTAACAGTTAAATCAACACTTCCTTTGCAAAATACTTGAATGAAAACTACAAAGTTTGTGAAATTTTGTTGCTAAGGCTCTTTTGAGTAGTTTTAATCATCTAGGTTGATTAAGTATTTTCAAAAATTTTTTAGTTTTATATATTTAAACTAGTACTTCCTTTTGTAAAAAAGTTTTTAGAGCATGTTTTTAAATGCATTAAAAATCATTATAAAATAAGTATTAAAAAATATGAAAGATGAAGTCCTCTTAAACATATTCATTAAATAACTTTTTAAAGAGTAAGCACAAAATTATAGAACAGTCATCTTTAATAAATTTTATTTTAAATTTTAACTTCATGCATAAAAACTTCAGTTTTATAATTTTGTTTACCAATGATGAATTAAAAATGGTAAACTTTTGACATCTAAATTCTAAAATAACATTGATTTATGAATTAATAAATACAGAAAATTTAATAAGAAATAAGGACAGAAAATTTCCTTATAATATAGGGTACTACTGAGAGTTCAAATAAAGCTTATTTCTTTCTCTTATTTATTTTTAAAATTTTGAAATGGAAAAATTAGGAAAATAGTTTTTTTTTTCTTTTTAAAATGATATAAAATTATTCACATACACTATATTTGAAGAATGATTTCAAAATTTGAACAAAAGAAGCTTAAAGGTACAATTTTATGTCTGGTGAAATTCAATTTTAATTAGGGAGATAAAAAGAAGGATGTTAATTAAAATTTTGATGCAATTAAGAAAAAAACATTTTGTTTTTTAAAAAAATACTGAAATTTTGTATATGTTTTAAAGTAATTCATGTATAAAAACCAAACAAAGATATTGTAAAACAATATATTTGTAGTTATTAGTGTAGTAAAACACTTTTTAAAAACTATTCAGAGCTATTTTTTTAAAATTATTCAAACAAGCCTTCTTAATATATGCAGTTCCTGGCTCCTGAAAGTGGCCCTTTTGTCAAGCTAAAAAAAGTATAATCATAAATTTTAGTGCTTTATCTTGAATTAACATTCAATATCTGGACAATAAAAAATAAGAAATTTAATTGTTTTTGGCCTTCAAGTTCATCTGCTGTCAAAGCAAAATATGTCTGCTTACCATTAGTTGATCAGCATACAACAGTTCAAAGTTATGGAATGGTTCAGTTATTTACACATCCTCATCCTCATAAGTTGATCAAATCTTTATTTTTGAGAACTCCTTGAATTTTAAAGGTGTTCAATTTGTTAAGTTTTATTATTTTATTATAATTAGATTTCAGCAAAAGAAACTTTGATTCAATAAGATATAAAATTTGAAAATATTAAGTGTTAAGTTTCACTGAACTGTCATTATGAAAAACGGGGGCTCGATCTCCTGTGACATCTTAAACCCCAACCAGCTTCTGATCGATGGGTACCAGCCTATCTGGGAAGTAAAGGTGTCCTGTGCACAGTGCTGACCACATTGCCGCAATTATGTCGTTGGTCTCAAAAATTAGAAATTAAACCATGTTTATTACATTTAAAAGTGCTATTAATTGATGAAAAAGAATTGTAAAGACTTCGAACAGGGCTCGAAAAACAGCCCGTCCTTGACGGTCAAAAATTCTCCGCGGACAACGAATTTCTCGAATCCGACGTCTGCGCGGATGGCCTTTTACCCGTTAATGTTCGTGATAAATTTTCAATTTTTGTTATCTTACAAGAGTCTTGTAAGTTACAAGGCAGCAAAATGACCCCCAATACAGCAACATACTGCACATATATTGATGCTTTCTCTGTCTGGGAGTACTGCAGCGGTTGAAAGGGGCTTTGCAGCAATAAACTTACAAAAAAACACAATGCGTACTGGTCTTAAACAAGAAGCTTTAAAAGCAATTATGAACATCTACCTAAATGGAAAACCCCTTTCAGATTTCTGTTCAGAAACCTCTGTAAATCATTAGCTTGATTGTGGAACTGGCAAACGTCATATTTGATTCATTTAAAAAACGCAGTACCCTCGGATAACTTGACATTCCAGATAACTTGACCCTTGTCATTTAAATTATTTCATAAAAGAAATACTAGGTTACTATTAGTAACCTAGTATTTCTTTTATTACTGTATAATGTAATCCTAGTAAAGACTAATTCATTGTGCAATTGATATAAATGTTTGTAATAAGTAGGAGAAAATTATACTTTTATTTATTTAAAAGCAACAGGTTAGTTTCAACGGAGGACGGGTGCATTGTTGGACAAGCCGTCCTCGGGGACGGGTAAAATTTCTGAGTTTTTTCGAGCCCTGACTTCGAATAACAATTAAAAAAATATAACATGTTTTCTGATATTTCTTTACGTCTAGAATATTGCAATATAAATTTTTTTCAGGCACTGCTATCTTAGAACTACTGGATATTGTTATCTGCAGTGTTATTTACCTTAATTAAATCTGTGAAATGAAAATAATTAAAAATTTTCTGTTCAATTTTATTTAGGGAGATAAAAAGAAGAATGTTAATTAAAATTTTGATGCAATTAAGATAAAAACATTTTGTTTTTTAAAAAATACTGAAATTTTGTATATGTTCTAAAGTTATTCATGTATAAAAACCAAACAAAGATATTGTAAAACAATATATTTGTAGTTATTAGTGTAGTAAAACACTTTTTAAAAACTATTCAGAGCTATTTTTTTTAAATTATGCAAAAAAGCCTCCTTAATATATGCAGTTCCAAGGCTCCTGAAAGTGGCCCTTTTGTCAAGCTAAAAAAGTATAATCATGAATTTTAGTGCTTTATCTTGAATTAACATTCAATATCTGGACAATAAGAAATTTAATTGTTTTTGGCCTTCAGGTTCATCTGCTGTCAAAGCAAAGTATGTCTGCTTACCATTAGTTGATCAGCATACAACAGTTCAAAGTTATGGAATGGTTCAGTTATTTACACATCCTCATAAGTTGATCAAATCTTTATTTTTGAGAACTCCTTGAATTTTAAAGGTGTTCAATTTGTTAAGTTTTATTATAATTAGATTTCAGCAAAAGAAACTTTCATTCAATAAGATATAAAATTTGAAAATATTAAGTGTTAAGTTTCACTGAACTGGGGCTCGATCTCCTGTGACATCTTAAACCTCACCCAGCTTCAGATCGATGGGTACCAGCTTGTTTGAGAAGTAAAGGTGGCCTGTGCACAGTGCTGACCACATTGCCGCAATTATGTCGTTGATCTCAAAAATTAAAAATTAAACCATGTTTATTACATTTAAAAGTGCTATTAATTGATGAAAAAGAATTGTAAAGACTTCGAATAACAATTTAAAAAAATAACATGTTTTCTGATATTTCTTTACGTCTAGAATATTGCAATATAAATTTTTTTCAGGCACTGTTATCTTAGAACCACTGGATATTGTTATCTGCAGTGTTATTTACCTTAATTAAATCCGTGAAATGAAAATAATTAAAAATTTTCTGGTGGAAACTTTACAAAAATACTTTCTGAACGGTGGTGTGAATGTTAGTTTTAAAATATTGACATCTGATTGTATACCAAAATAAAATGTTACAGGTGTCTGACTCAAAAGAGAGTGGTGATGAGGAAGGACAAGTCCAGCTTTTTTAAAACATTTAGGTAATATGAATAAATATTTTAATTTAAAATAATACATTTTTAAATTGTTATTCTTTAATTAATTAATTAACTTGTATTATAATTATATTGATTGAAATTATGTAAAATGTTGCTTTAGACAATTTCAAAGAATAATTTTATAAAAAGCATTTTTGTCTTGAGAATAAATATGTTGAATTGCTCTGAGCATGTTGAATGTTTATCGATTTCAATTACAAAGAAAATGAAAATATTTTTTTTAAAAGTATTTTTGCTATTTTTGTTTTTAAAAGTATTTTTTGTATTAGTTTTCTTGAAATTATTTATCAAATACAGTGTGCTTATATGTGTTAAAAACTAATGCGAAAAAATAAGCAAAATATCCTGAATTTCTTAGATGTAATGGTTGGATTTTTACATACTAAAACTTAATCCTTTCCCAATGGGAGAAGTTCAAATCTGCTGGTATTTGAAATCCTATGGAGATGCAATGCTATCCTGTGCCTAAAATTATAGTTTTTAAAACATTCCAAAACACTGTCACAAATATGGGATGGTCGGGAGTTAACGAGAAAGTGCATGGCAGTGTGTCGGCCGGAAAATGAGCGTTTCATTCCTGCTTGTGTATGTGACAGTCTGCTCCAAACTGTTCAAAGAAGTGACTTCAGATATCTTAATTAATTAATGCATATGATTTTTCTGTTACAAAACCAGACCACACATACTTTCTCTGAATAAACTTACCTTTTTTTGGCAAATTTTTTCCTTGCCCTCAAAATATTGGGGGTAGTTGTAATCTTGGGATAATGATCAGGAAAGTGGTTAAAATTTTGGACCCTTTAATGTTAATTTTACTTTTTGCTTAGTTTGGAATGTTTTGAGAATTTCTTAAGTGAATGGAAAACTTTTTGCACACAATTATGGAATTGGTTTATCCAGAGCAGATTTCTTGCAAAAGATAATTTTCATCCTTATTAATTGTTTTTTATTATTTTATTTAATAATAGTTGAAAACATTTTGAATGGTAAGGTGTACAAATTTTTTTTATTTCTTTAAGACTGTAATTGTATTTAGAAACATACAAACTTTGAACAAAATCAGTTGAATAGTTCCTGAGAAATGGACTTTTAAAGAAGTCTTTTATTTGAAATTCGAATTTCTACCGAAATATTTGACCAATTTCATTTAAATTTGGTATTTTATCATGAATTACATTTTTTAAAAATGATGTAAAAATTCGTATATCTTATATATCTTACAATGTTTATCTTATATTTCTGTATCCTATATACCTTACACTTCAAAATTTTTCAACTGTTATTAAATAAAATAATAAAGAAAGACAAATAATTATTAAAAATAATTTTTTGCCTGAAGTTATCTTTGGAAGTTATGTTCAGTGGATCGATAATTGAGTACTTAGCATGCTTGGGAAATAAACACTGGAGGTTCTGACCATTCAACCGGAACATCTGCTCTTGCACCTCAAAGCCCAAAGGTCAAGAAAACTGAGATGGGCACTGTAGGCCTTGGCCCTCTATGGGCTGTTGCGCCTCTGAGTTTATCTTTGGATAAACAAATTTATTACTGTGTGCAAAAATCTTTCAATTCGCTTTGAAAAATTCACGAGATATAGCAAAATATGCAAAAAGAAGAAATAACATTGGACAGCTCTCCTAACTTGGACCATGCTCCAAACATTGGACTGTTCTCGTGGCAAAACTGTTGGGACCATATTTTCTAGATAGTGGCTTCTCCCTATATCCTGAAGGTCAGAATCCAAATCAATTGAAAAAAAAAGAGTGTTTTTATTCAGAGGAGGTACATTTTTGTATTTGTGTCTGGTTTCATATCCTAAATTGTCATCTGCACTAACTAATTAGCATAATAGAGATCATCCCCTCGAACTATTAGGATTTAGTCGTAGTGATGAAAATATGATCATTAGATAAGATATTCAGGGTATTTCATTTATTTCTTATGCACTGCACATAGCTTTTTCATAAATGCAATTTAAATGAAACAGCAATAGCATATTAATTAAGGACCAGCATTTATGCATAGTTAAAGCAGAATTACTATTAAGGCTTGTCCCATGGGAATCCTAAACTAAATTTAATTCAATGGAATAGGGTCAGAAAGATAATTGTGCAACAGAAAATATTGAGCAAAAGGTTAAAACTGCAGCTTATTGACCTATTACTACTCAATTCAATCTTAATAGATACTCTAAGTAGGAATTTTATAATGCAGTATATTCCCTAAATAAAATTTGAGAAATTTTTTTAATTAAACTTTCTTCTTTTAAATAGTTTTAACAATTAAAGAGGAAAATAAAACAAGCTGCATTTGTTTATCTAGAAATTTATAAAAAAATTTAAAAAAAAAACTAAAATTTATAATATAAAATTTTTTAAGAGTTATCGTATCCGAAATCCTTATCTTATTTAAAATTGATTTTTCTTTTAAGCAATACTTTTTTTTTTAAAAATGTAAGTACTATTTATAAAACCTTTCATTATCTTTCTAGGTTAAAATTGGCAGTTATGCTATGAAACAGACATTTTTATGAGGTCATTAAGTTGAAAATCCATTCTTGTTTAACCAAACTGGTATAAAAGCAAAATGCTTTGGCTTCTTTTTATGTTAAGATTTGAAAGGAAAAAAAAAACTAATATCAGAACATGTTCTTTAAAGACAAAAATATTTTTGTTTGCAATTGACTTATATATTTATTTTTCTTATTTAGGTCAAAATGTTCATCTGCTTGCTCAAAATCCAGACCGGAAAACCAAATTATTGTCTTACCCAAGGATCCATTATCTTCCCGTCTTTAAGCTCTGCATGCTTTTCAATCTTGGTTTGATGGAGAATATCATCATTTTAATGAATTTAAGGTCAGTCTTTTAGTACCGATTCAAACACTAAAGAAGATTTATAATACACTTTATAAATTAAACAGTTCATTATTATTCTAACCTGAAAAAATTTGCCTTTTCATGTTTTTATGCTTCCCTTAATTGGCTCGTAAAGCAGGTATGTCACTAGGAAAGGTGACTTAACATGCATTCCCCAAAAATGTTTGGTTATCGCTTAAGCTCATTTTGGATCTGGTGATAACTTTCAAATTAATGTAATTTCTTCTTCTTTATTGACACTACAGCCCAGGGTGGACCTTATCCTGTTGCACAATATTTTGCCAATCAGCTCTGTCCCTGACCTTGATCTTCCAGTAGGAGATCTTGACTGGTTTTAAATCATCCATCTTTTCTTTGGTCTGTCTCTTGGCCTAATGTAATGAAATTTAAACAATGTAATTTTATTGTATGAGAATATAATCTCTGTTATTCTGCTATACAGTTTTCCATCCAGGCATAAGTATTGTCATGAATGAAGATATTTATTTAACAAAAGATTATTCTCTATATTTATTAAGCAGGTTATTAATTAGTTGGTTAAAATGAATTATTTAGTTTGTCTTCTTAATGTGCCTTAAAAATTTAAGGAGTTGTCCAGCTTTTGCAACCAGGTTCTTAATCTTCACCCTCTTTTTTTCACTGTTCTTTAGTGCTGAATGTTGTTTTATTCCATTTTTTATTTCATGCTATTGATTAAAAGATATTTTATATAGTATGGTGATTGAGTTATGAATATTAAGTTTCTTGCAAAATACTCAGTTGCAAGGAAGTTTTTCCGTTTTCTTCCTCTATAGCACTCACATTACTTGCATAAATCTCCAATGGCTGTTCCAGTCTTGATTTAACTTCTAATATAAAAGCACCCTGCCAAAATTTATCAAACCATTTTGCACAGTTTGTAGTGTAGGATCACTGTCTAAATAAACAGTCAAAATTGTTCTCGTGTGTAGTTATATTACTCACAAATTTCTGAAATTCATAGAACATGTCGTAAATTAACCTTTTTATTGTCCATTTTTTTTTAACATCAATATTCAATCCTGTAGATGCAAAACACACTTTATCTTTCCAGTACTGGCAACACAACAGCCAAACAAAGAAGTATCCACATCACCTAATAAAATATACTCTAGCGCCATCTCTGAGCACTGGACAAAAACTTTTTAAATGACCTCACACACA